TTTTTTGTTAAAATATATTTAATTATTATTTTTTTATTCTGATTCACTTTAATGAAAAAAGGCTTAAAGCTCAGTGACCCAAGACTTAGACTTGACTTGACTTGAAAATTGTATATCTGGCAAATGAGCTGCGCGAGTATGTAGTTACCTAAAAAAACAACTTCATTTAGAAACTTGGAGAACTATAGTAGATCTTCGATTTCTAAGTTGAATTTCTAAGTGCAAAGAGAACCGTCAGAGAATTATGTTGCCACATAATTTTTTCACATATTTTTAATAGAATTCCTCTAAATATGCCACACAAATATGATTTTTTGTATAAATGCAATTCATATGGCAATCGAAAACCAAACTTTCGAATAAAGACAAAAAATAAAGTAAAAACAATCACAATTTGATACGCTTCAATACATTTATTTCAACTGCAATTTTTATTAAATTTTACCACAATCAAAGTAAACGCTTAAAATTTTGCGTGCACTAATACAAATACTACGGATAAAAAAAAGGAGAGAAAGCAATAGATTACACGGAGAGTAATCGTTTCTAAGTTTCTAGGTAAGTTAAGTCAGCATAACCCAGCTTTTAACCTCAGTTACATTGTGACTTTAAATACAAAAATAAACCTTGAAGTTGTTTCAAAAACATTACTTTAATCTGAAAAATTATTATATTTTGGTTAATTTTTATTTTTATTTTTTGCTGAGTCTCTTTAATGAAAAAATACCTTGACGTCAGTGACACTATTTCAAACTAAAGCATATGTATATTAATGCGGTTGTGCAATACAACTTTTAAAAAATTTCTAATTATTGCAATAGATAAATGAATATTACGAGATACAAATACTTCCGCAATGCACAGCCTGCAATCTTGTAAAGCCGTTACATCTCATGTATCTACATGTTTATGTACAACACCATAGGAGCATAAGCAGCTTTCCCAGCATTTTTACGATATATCGTACACTGTTTTTGATGATTTGCTTATTTTTTTAGCAAACAATTTTTTAACAAAAAAGTGAATAGGGGCTAAGGATGGATATTAAATTTTATAAAAATAAAAATGCTAATATATAAAAAATTGTTTTGTTTTGATTTTGTAAAGCTTTGAAAAGACAAAAGATCTCTCGAATATGAGATGAGCTTTCCGCCATGCGACCATGCTTCAAAAAAAATAAAAAAATCGTCAAAAGTTGCGAAAAATATGTACAATATATCTTACTAATGCCAGCAAAGGGTTAAAAAGAGCCTGATGCCCTCTGCTAAGAATGCTACTCACACCAGCAAGTTAAGCCAAAATGATATTATTCAGACGTGCTATGATTTGATTCTCAAGAGATATTCACATCGATAACTTTCACGATACATTTTGGGACATGCCACATCGTCAAAAATTACACATTTGCATTTAGGCATGCGTGACTTTGTATAGTTGCTTTGCAACTGACGTTTTGGAACTCAACCGCAGTGTCAAAATATTTCTTCTCACGCTTATATTACTTCACCTGGTATAATTCCACCATGGGTGGTGGGGTGCATGCAATAACATCATACGCAATAATTCCCATTACTTGGACATTAAAAAGCAGTTTCAGAAGTGAACTACTGTCATTTTATTATTATTCCTATCTCTAAACGGTTAGACGGGGGACGCAAGCGCGAAAGCGGACCGCCGCGACGCTGGGCACTTTCAAAACTCCGTCCATTTAACTTGTTCAGGTACTACTTTTTGTCAAATGTACCTGGGCGACTACCTACATACATATGCGCACTAAAATTTGCTCTTATTGCTCAACGAGAAATAAAATAAAGCAAATTTGTGTTATTTCACCTGATTAATACATTTTAAAAATGCTCCCACCTACCATGTTTCCTCCGGATGTCTCGAAAACTGATTAGGTTGAAGTAATTTAATTTCCAAAGTGTATGGCATATTCGAATTACGTTCGATTCTAAGGAAAAATGGTGAACAACCTAAGTTTATGTATACAAAAACTGACGTTACGCCCTCCCAATTTTTAAAAGAAAAATGAATGTATTATAATTTTTTTGAACGAAATTAATTTTTCATTTAAAAAATTTTTTGTTTTCTTCATACAATTGTGTTAATATACTGATTTTTATTTTGGGAATTTTCAGTCAACATGTATGTATGTAGTTTGTTCGACATTTTTTCTTAGAATTTGAATTTGCAATACACTTTCTTGGAAAATTTTCTCCAAAAAAATTACTCCGCCCAAATATATGTAGGTATTTTGTGACCTTCATTTATTATATGTACTTTTATGCTGCTTGGAAAGAGAATTTATTCTCTTTGATTTTAATATTCGCATTGGTGTTCTAACCCATTTTATCAAGCTTTAGCTTAGAATACGCCTTACGTTTAAATATGGAGGCTATGCTCAAATGTTGTATGTAGTTGTAGTTTTTAGATCTTCACGAAAACGCTATTGCCCTAGAACTAGTGAAGCGATTTCAAAGAAAAGTGCGCCGTTTCAAAGACAAAATTCCAAACCTATCGAGTGATACATTTATGTTAGTAACCGATTCGGTGTTTGTCATAGAAACTTTCGTTTTCGGGATGTAGGATCTCTAGAGCAGTAGAAATATTATCGTGTACAAATTTTATATAAATTCAAAAAATATCGAGCAAAATTCTCGTAAACCCCTCGAATGCTTTTTTTTTTTGTTTTCCTTAGTTAAAAATTGAAGTTTTTTCGTTTCGTTTGGTATATGGGGTGTATGGGGGGTTGATTTATTCTAAGCATGTTTGTTTTATTCAAATATATGGGCATAAATGATTATCCATACAAAATCACTTCGTCATCATTTTGCAAACACATGCATACGTTGGTAGTGATCCTGCAAAAAATTGTGCGATTGATCTCTAAAGAGAGTATTCCGAGATTACTCTCAATCGGGTACAATGGGGCATTAATTAGTCCCAACTAGTCTCATACGGGTACTAATGGAGGTCAATTAGTCTCGACTCAGGCCTCATGGGTATAATTGGAGATCAATTAGTCCCCAACTCATCTCTAACGGGTACTCTTAACGATTTAATGATATGTACGCACTTAGTCAATGAAATTTCATGTGCGGCGTTAGCACACAGAGAGGGTATTCGCCTAACAAAACTGAGCACCCCGGTTCGAATCTCAGCTGGCGCAAATTTTTATTTTTATTTTTTAAAAGTTACTAGTCGCTTTTTATACCCGTTCGGGTATAAAGGGGAACAATTAGTCTCTTCATAGGACATGCTCGAACAAAAGCGATCAGTTCATTCCATATAAAGAGGTCACAAGTGGTATTAGTCGCATGCTCCTTTGCGATTGCTCCCGAAGTTATCCCGGATTAGTCCAATTTTTTGCAGGGGAGAGAAGGAGCCAAAGAGTATGTGTGTGCAGGTATATCGGCGTTTGAGTAACAGATTGCGCATTATTTATAACCTATTTTTCTGTTTCTATTTTTCTTTTAGTAATCTACATATATTTGTATATATGTATGTACATACTCTGCAGAGTGACTAGAGGACGGATGAATCAGTAGCCTGGTAAACTCCATCAATTACCGACCGACTATTTGCAGTGTATTTCAGCGATTGCTTTTACAAGGCAATGTCCTTGGCGGTACTTACCATCGGGTCTCTCTGCACTACCGAGAGTTACTAAAGTAGTCACTTGCGTGATTTATGGGCACCCTCTGTCGTAGTTTTTCGCTATTCTGCTTCCGACTGGTTCGACTCTGCACTACCACTAATAGAGTAGCTACTTACCTAGGAGTCGGTGCAGTTGTGGTTCAAAAGTAGCGATTGACTCCAGCAGTACTGGAGGGTTGGAATGCATAATGCCATAATTCGCGAAACCTTTTTCATCATAACAGATCTGTACCGTTCGTTCGTTTTTTACAAAATGAGGTATAAAATTAAAGGGCTTTGCCTGTGGATGTGCAATAACTTCTTATTTTTTCAAAAAGTGTTGCCACCTGATAAAAATTAAATTCAATTTATTTTTAAGTTAAATAAATTATTACACTATGAGTATCGATCGAAATGGTTTTGACTTTATTTCTTAATTGTATGTAGGAGGGCGCCACCTGAAATAAAGGCAGAAAGTTTAAATGTATATACTGATATGGATGTCAGACGAAAGAGGTTGTGGTTTGAAAATATTTTGCAGAGGGTTGCCACCTTGTTACAAAGTTAGACTCAATATAAGCAATAGGTTAAATAAATTCCTTCAATATGAATATACATCAAAATTGCTTTGAAGAAACTTTATTTCTAAACTGCATGTAAGAGTGTTGCCACCTGATTTTATAATTAAAATCAAATTTAATTAAGAGTATTAGACAATTTAAATATGTATCACAATACAAGTGTCGGGCGAAAAAGTTTTAACGAGCCTTTGGTTTAAAAATAATTTGTACAGGATTGCCATCTCTTTGAAAAGTCGAGTTAAATTAAATTATATGAAATATTGGAATATTGGCGTCAAACACAGGAGTATTAGGAAAAATTAAGTTTCAGCGTTTATAACATTAAAGAGGGTTTCCACCGGCATAAAAAATTGAACTAAAATTATATAATAAGTCAAATGAATTATTAAAGTATGGGTATTAATTTTTAACTTTTTTTTTTTAACTTTATTTAAGAGGGTTTCCATATACTCGTAGTAGTGATACACGTCATGGGATATATCTCGTTATGAGCTGATTGTAACGGGTGATTTTTTTGAGGTTAGGATTTTCATGCATTAG